GTCAGGGTCCCCTCCTCCTCCTCCTCGCCGTCTCAGCTCCGTCATTTTTGGCTTATTTCAGTCTAAATAATGCATAGATATCGTCGGAGGTCCACGTTAAAATAAAGCAGAGCGGGGTTCTCGGTAATCCGGTTAATTTAACCTACTGCGACCATCAAAGTGTCTCCCGCGGCAGGTGGAGGGACAGACAGCCTGCGTGCATTTGTTTATGCCCGCAGATCTGCTGCTGTTTTGTTAGTTACGTCTCTCTCTCTCTCTCTCTCGCTCTCTCTCTCTCTCTCTCTCTCTCTCTCATCCAGTGACTCAACGTAAAGAGGAAACACTGCTCCACTCTGCGGCTGGAGCTCAGCGCACTTCACTTAACTCCTCAAAACTCGCACGACAGTCCAAATGTGATGGTTTCTTCTGGTCAAGTCATCATGACTTTATTATTATATTGTGAAGTCACATCCAACCGTTTTGTCATTGTCCTGGTAGCTTAAACTGATGCTCCTTTGAAGGGATAGTTCAGCCAAAAATTACCTACTCACCCTTATGTCATTCCAAAGCTGAATAACTTTTTTCTTCTTTTGTTTAACATGAGCCACTTTTTTTCCATTAATTTAATGGTGGTAACCAAACAATTGACACAGTATGGGAAAAAATACTATGGAACAAAGTCAACTCTTTGGTTACCACCATTCTTGAAAATATCTTCTTCTGTGTTCAACAAATGAAAGATCTGGAACAAGTGGAGGATGATTATTTTCAGGTGAACTATCCCAAGCATGAAAATATCTGTATCCTGGCTACAACTAAATTCAGTATATAGTGACTGTATATCTGGCTAATGTGTAATAAGAATAATACAGAATAATAGGCCTAAATGCTAAAACAGTAACAATTTTACTTAGGTTAGTAATTATGTTATTATTATTTTTAACACTAACTGGAATACATTGTTTCATCATGATGCTTTATTATATTCCAGTTCATATTTACATTAATCATTTTTAGTGCTGTCAAATGATTAATGGCGATTAATCGCATCCAAAATAAATGTATATATTTCCCAAAAATATGTTAGGTTTATATATTAATATACAATATAAATTATATGAATATAAATATATACATGTAAATAGTTTTAATATATGTACTGTATGTGTGGGTATTTATATATACATAATATCCACAGTACACACACATACAGTATATTATGTAAACAAAAACTTTTATTTTGGATGCGATTAATCGTTTTGACCGCACTAATCATTTTGTAATTTCTGTGTCCGAAGCATGTTTGTTAACTTTATATTATTAAAGGATATAAATTGCTAGCAAACAAATGTGTGGTTTTGGCATGTCACTCAGATTGCAACACTGTCTGTAACTTGCTTTCTCAAGATGGCGAGTGGTTTACTGGACACCCAAATTTAACCATGCATGTCGCAAGAAGCTTTCATCAGAGATTTAATACTGGGCTTTGTTGTAGCTGTTCTTAAGTGATCAGGACAAACATGTTAGTTTCCAGCACAATTAATGCTGTCTGTTTTAAAGCATTGATTAAACACAATGCATTTAACGGCTTTGATGCAATTCAGTCAATTTCAAAAGCCAAGTTCCTAGACTTCTAGATTATATATTTTTGCACTACATTGCAATAAATGATGGAAAGAACTTGTCTGAGGACAATGGTGGTGGTAAACAGCAAGTATTTAATTGAAACTAAATTAAAAGGTATGAGTACCATATCTATTGCGTCATAATAACAGGTACAGTATAGGGGTTATTTATGGGGGAGGGGTTCATGTAATTGTTTTTCAACACAAATATACAATGAACATTCAGCTACCACAGTTTTGCACACTAGATACTGTAGTTATGCAGTCTATCACAAGACCACCAAACAGGGACAATCCATGTGTAATTCATCAGTTCCGGGATCAGTCCTCAACATCCATACATTAGAGTACAAAAAGTCAACCAAAGAGTCGTGGGACACTCTGTATATCCACCTAAAGCTGTACACAAAACCCTCAGGATCGACTCGTTAGATAATGCCATAAAAATGAGCCAAAGAAAGAGAAAACAAATAAAACATAATGCCAAAACATGTACAATACACTGACACAGAAAGTCAGCTGTGTTAGACATGCAACTAGTAACCAACCTTGCTGGAAAATCATAAAAAACATATCCACCTAAAGCTGTACACAAAACCCTCAGGATCGACTCGTTAGATAATGCCATAAAAATGAGCCAAAGAAAGAGAAAACAAATAAAACATAATGCCAAAACATGTACAATACACTGACACAGAAAGTCAGCTGTGTTAGACATGCAACAAGTAACCAACCTAGCTGGAAAATCATAAAAAAGAAAACAAAATAATTGCATAAATACTTTGTACAGTTCATCTTACTGTAAAGAAATGCACCCTTTCAAAATAATACCCCACACCATAAAAATGCATCTGACAAAACAGCGATTACTCCATTTCTTTGTCTTTTCTACATGTCAAGGTGCAAAAATTATTTCAGATTGATATAGCCATTTGATCTTTGAGCTGCTTGTCGACAGCAAAACCCCAACAGCTTTATGATGTTATGATGGCACGCTGAATTACAGTACATTAATATAGAATAATTCAACTATAAGGAGTGCATATTAGGCTGTACGGAAATCATACAACAGTGAATAAAACAACTGCAATGGTTCATCTTTTTAAAGTTGCAGGTGTCAGACCATTTAAAGAAAGAAAAATAAATTCTCTCTATTAATCAAAGCAGCACTTTTGATAGGGTATTGCCCACAGTATCAAAAAGAAAAAGAAGAAAAAACTTTCTCTTTCATAGTTTTGTCTAAGGTAAGAAGAAACTAGGCTTCCAGTCCATTAAAATTGTTAAATCCCTTTTTCTGTACACATGATAACATTCAAGCTACAGTCTTTCGTGAAATGTGTGTGGAGTGAAAACATCAGTAACTATTGCTTTCCTAATCTACAGACATTTACACTGGTGCAACATCGCAAACGGTTAAAATAGTGATTTTTTAAGAATAAGAATACATGCACGTTTTTACTAAAAACAAAACCATAATTTTTAAGCTAGTGCCAGAGAGTAACATTTAAGTTGTCTAATGCATATTAGTTAATAACAGATGAAGAATTAGTCAGAGAAGTCCCACACTAATGCAAAATGTACAGATGTGAAACGATATGAAATAAGCAGGAACTCTGACACTTCAGAAGCATGTTTGATATTAGTCTTTCAATTGGTCAGAAACGTTTCTGTCTTCTGTCGCATAACACGTGTGGTGGAATCATTTAAAGTTTGAATGAATCCTGTCATTTAAAAAAAATAATTTAAAGTGGTCTTTAATCTAAGTTCAACATTTACATACTTTCATTGACCTACACAACTGTTAAAATAAGATAATAGTTGCATATCAAGGCAGGTTGGCAACAAAATTTAAATGGAAAAAGTTGTCTATGGCAACTGACTGATACTGTGGGCAACACAACAGAACATATAAAATAAACATAATTAAGCATTTGCATGTCATTTGCAATGTCAACCCACAAACATTTATCAACATTCATAGTCCCCAATATTATTCCCGCTGGGAGGCTGTGACTTGTGACATCGACTACACACACACTCGCAGTTTTGTTCTTTTAAAGCCAAGAGTGATTTTTAACATACTGTAATACTATATTACAAGCAATGCGTTTTGATTTCTTCTTTTATCTCTTAATAATGACTTTTTGTTTCACTGTTTCTAGTTAAAAATGCCATTGTAAGTATTTACAATATAAACAAGTGTCATCTCGTTTCATCAGGAAGCGTTTTATACGCATTGCTTTTTCTAATATCTAAACATAATGCCGACTTTGTGGATGATTCCAATGAGATGACGGAGCATTCTGCAAAAGAAAATGCATGAATGGAAAAGTAAACTAACAAAAGTCTCTTTTGAACGGTCACACTTCTCCAGTGTATGAAATTATGAGCATTAGTGATGCCATTTAGGAGATTTTGACCAATGAGATCTTGCACGGGGAGCAGTGAAATGTTTTTTTGAGGGTGGTTGGGATTTTGGGCTTTGGGCATGTGATGTGATGTGGGGTGAGGGTGAACTAGTTTCTCGGGCTTTCTTCAGAGCCCCGCTCATGCTGCAGGTTGTAGTAACAGTTCTGACAGACACGCACAGGAGAGGAGATTTTCAGCCGCTTGATCTCTGACTGGAAGCGACTACACCTGCGGGAAACAAGCAACAAATTTTAAAACCCTTTCGAGAGATTCTAAAACAAATTTTCTAAATTTCTAAAACACAATAAAACGCAAAAAACAACAACAACAAAAGTTGCAGTGGTCTTTATCCAATTAGTTTTGAAAATAAACCACAAACAAAGTCATTTAAAGATTTTGCAACACAGATTACTAAAACACCAAACAAAAAAACATCAAAAACCACAAAACTAAAAAATTGCAGTGGTCTTTTCTCAGTTGGTTTAGAAAAAAAACAAGCATATAAAAAACAAAAACAGAAAACATACAAAAACAGAAAACAAAAACAATAAAAACAAAAGAAAACTAAAAACCAAAACAGTAAAAAAGAAAGAAAGAAAAGAAACAACAAACAAAAAAAATTGTTGCAGACCTTTTCCAATCGGTATTAAAAAATAAATAAAAATCAAATAACACTTAAAAGGTATTTAGTTCCCATATTATAAATATTATTGCAAATCTGTCTTACTTCTGGCAGAAGACCTGGCCACAGTTTCTGCAGTGGTGGCGCCTTTCAGTGAGGGAGAAACGCACAGTGCATCCAGAGCAGCTGTCCACCTGCTCGTCCTTCACCCAGTGGTCTGCGGTAGAGCGTCCGGGCTGATCACTGACAGACCAGCTAAACACGCGGCCACTGCTGTCGCCTACCAGGATCTTACTGTGGTCTCTGAGTACACAAGAACAGCTGGTTATCAACAGTCTTGTTTAAAGACGATTTTTTTTTAGCAAACACTGGCATATTAATGTTAAACCACATTAGAAACCAGCTTCTCTTTTATCCTCATTCCACCACAAACACAGAGCACCTACTTTGAAATGGCAAGCGAGGTGATTTCCGCAGGATGAGCGTTGTCCTTGCGGTCAAACGCTGTGTGCATGGTGAGTTTGCTCCGGAACACCAGCTGTCTCTCCCATCTGTAGCCTGTTTAAGAGACAAAGCTAACGGTGAAGAACATGCCAGTTGCTCACATTAAAGCAAAAACACAAGGGAACAGCACTTGCAACGACAATGCAAATGCAAAACTTAAAAGCACACACTTCTGAAATCTGTGAATTAGAAATACGGTACATTTTGATCAAATTCAAATCAAGGATTTACTGCTCTCACTTTGGTTTACATCCTAACTTTTCATGTAAACTGTGATTCCGATGATAGAATTTGTAATGAAAATATATTAAATTAGAAGGAAATCAATTAAATTAATACAATTTAATTGACTATTTAAATTAGTAACTATGTGCATGGTGAGTTTGCTCCGGAACACCAGCTGTCTCTCCCATCTGTAGCCTGTTTAAGAGACAAAGCTAACGGTGAAGAACATGCCAGTTGCTCACATTAAAGCAAAAACACAAGGGAACAGCACTTGCAACGACAATGCAAATGCCAAACTTAAAAGCACACACTTCTGAAATCTGTGAATTAGAAATACGGTACATTTTGATCAAATTCAAATCAAGGATTTACTGCTCTCACTTTGGTTTACATCCTAACTTTTCATGTAAACTGTGATTCCGATGATAGAACTTGTAATGAAAATATATTAAATTAGAAGGAAATCAATTAAATTAATACAATTTAATTGACAATTTAAATTAGTAACTGTATCAAATTGATCAAAATGTTATTTATTATTTAGCTTTTTTAATACCTTAATACTTTTATATCATCTTTGCAATTTTAATCAATTAATGCAATGAAATTAGTTTTTTTATAGATCTATTTTGGCAATTTTACTTTTACTGAGACAGATCAGCACAGAATCTGACAGGAATTGAAGTGGAAGAGAGAGGGGGACAGAATTGGGAAAGGTCCCTAAGCCAGGACTCAAACTCGGGTCACCCAAAGAGCAAACGCACTATTTGTTCTGCCCATGAGGCTGTTAAAAAATTGTTTAAAATTAGAATAAAATAATTAAAAAAAACATTTAAAATTAAATTAAATCAGTAAATCAACTAAAATAAAATAAAATTAATGTCACGCTACTATTTTGGCAATTTTACTTTTACTGAGACAGATCAGCACAGAATCTGACAGGAATTGAAGTGGAAGAGAGAGGGGGACAGAATTGGGAAAGGTCCCTAAGCCAGGACTCAAACTCGGGTCACCCAAAGAGCAAACGCACTATTTGTTCTGCCCATGAGGCTGTTAAAAAATTGTTTAAAATTAGAATAAAATAATTAAAAAAACATTTAAAATTAAATTAAATCAGTAAATCAACTAAAATAAAATAAAATTAATGTCACGATTTGTTTTAATCTACTGCACCTGGTTTGAGCTTGTTGTATGACCGAGCCTCCATAGTACTGGGCTGAAGAGGCTGTGGTACTGGCCCATGCGAGGGTGCTGAGTGCGGTTGTAAATGTGGCTGTGAGGGAATTCCCGCTCTAATCTGGCCCTCTGAGTAGTTTACAAAAACAAAGCCATCCTTCTCATCAATACTGAGTGTGTCCGACCAGCGGCGGGAGTCGTCAGAGCTGCTGTCCACCGACCAGGAGGCTCCGGTGCGAGGTTTGGGTCTGTGGACCGTGCTGCTGGGCTGGCTGTTTAGGGGTTTAGGGTCCTGACTGAGGCTGGTTTCCTCTCCTTCAGACTCACTGCTGTCATCCTCTGGAGCATCACGACCCTCTGGAAGAACAAGGACTTGAGGTTATTTCATCTGAAAAGATCATCTAAAAGTCCGAAGAAATTGCGGTAATGCAGAGTGCAGGCTAAAATTGATCAAAATGTTATTCATTAGTTGGCTTATTTAATGTTTTCATGTCATCTTTCCAAAAGTCATGAAAAAGGTGCAATGGAGGGATGTTTTACCAATCTCTCCACAGCAGTCTGGCACATCGGGGGGCTCTACAGGCTCTGGAGCAGGGGTTTCTGGGACTTGGAGGAACTCAATTCTCCAGAACTACAAGATAAAGCCATTTGTCAAGAACCGTTATCTGTTGACACTTTAAAAGACACAGAGTGAAAAGAAAAAGTAAATTAAGGAGAAGACCATTACCCTGACAACACCGTCGGAGTGTCCCGTAACGATAACATTCTGTGTGTCCCACTCATTCATCTCTGAGATGCAGCAGCAGAGGATTTGTTGGCTCCGGCCAGTGAAAGTGTTGGCGCTGGCGATGGGACTTCCATTGATGCTCCACACATGGATGTAGGTGCCAGCACAGGACACTATATCACCCTACACACAGACAAACAGGGTCTTTTCCAATTCATAGAACACTTCGGTTTTATTCTGAGGAATCAATTTATTATGAGGATTCATAAAAGGCAAGAATTTCAATCAGGAGGCTCTTTCTTTTCCAAAGTAGTAATAGTCTGACTTACGTAGAAATTAATTCCTTTTCAGGAATTTTTTAAAGGCAAGCATATTTTTAAACTGTAAAGTGTACTACTGTTTCCAAAGAGCTTGATGAGCTTGATGAACAGATCAAATTAACTTCATACCAAAAAAGTTTGATGAGTTGGCAAACATTTTAATTTTGCATTATAATAATAAATAATAACAATAATTAGTGCTGTCAAACGATTAATCGTGATTAATCACATCCAAAATAAGTGTGTAAAAATAAAGTTTTTGTTTACATAATATATGTGTGCATACTTTGTTTATTTATTACAGTATGTATATATAAATCCAAACACATGCATGTATATATTTAAGAAAAATATGTTATGTTTATATATTAAATATATTTATATATAAGAATATAAATATATAAATGTATATACATGTAAATATTTTCAATATATATACTGTATGTGTGTGTATTTCTATATACATAATAAATATACACAGTACACATACATATATTATGTAAACAATAACTTTTATTTTGGATGCAATTACTCATTTGACAGCACTAATAATAATATATTTTCATAAGAATATAAAATTTATATTCTTATGAAATTATAAAAGTTATATTTTTTATTGCCCCAAATTTTCCACATAGTTATCTGTGAGTAATAAAAGAAATAATAATAGTAATAAAAACAATAACAATATATTATTTTTATATGTATTAGCGATGTAACGATTAACCGCGAGCCGGTTGAAAATCGATTGAAATATGTGCAATAACTTTTATTTTGGATGCAATTACTCATTTGACAGCACTAATAATAATATATTTTCATAAGAATATAAAATTTATATTCTTATGAAATTATAAAAGTTATATTTTTTATTGCCCCAAAATTTCCACATAATTTTCCACATGCGATCCGGTTGAAAATCGATTGAAATATGTGACGATTCAAATCGGTTGAGATGCTAAACAAATCGCGATTCAGTTAGGGGTAGGAGTTTATATGAATGTATGTCTGAGGGGAGCTTACTGTCTTTTATTTTTTTCTTTTCCTCTTGCCTCTGTATAATGCATATTAATGTTCATAAGTGCAGTGCTGCTTTGTTTACAGTGGAAACCTGTTTAAAGCGGAAACCAAGGAAATGCTCTAAGCGCCACCTGCTGGCAGAGAGTGAATCTGCGTCTCGTTCAGCTCGTCTGCTGTTTCTGTTTCATGCAGATATTTTTTACGCATAGTATCACAAAACTGAAGTCAAACCATTCTGTTTTTGCTTCAAATTTCGAAATTATACAATGTAATTTAGATTAAAAACTAACATGTATGCAGCATCTTTGTTTGGATCATGATTCAAACGCAGTGGTTGCCTCTGATTTTAAATGGAAAGAGCACAGACAAAGCCTAGCTTGTTTATATGAAGAGAGTTCTTTTATTTGTGTTACTTATTTATTTGATTTGGGGCTTGTTTTAAAAATTCTATTTAGTTTTGTTATTTACAGTTACATTATATTTCAATTTTGTTATTTAGCAAACGCTTTTATCCAAAGCGACTAACAAATGAGGACAATAGAAGCAATCAAAACCAACAAAAGAGCAATCATTTACAAGTGCTATATTAGTATATTATTATAGTGTTATATTTCAATTTCACAAAGAAACATACAGTATTTTGTCCAAGCAATAATAAAAGGACACATTTAATTTATAATTGGTCTTAAATCTCTCTTTTTTTTTTTTTAATTGTGAATCGAATCGTGAAATCAAAATTGTGAATCGAATCGTGAGTTGAGTGAATCGTTACATCCCTAATATGTATACATATTTTACATTTTCAATATTAAAATGATAATTTATTAATAAATTATGTTATTACCTAATAAAGCATACAAATGCAAAGACCATACAATGCATACAAGAGTGCTTATTAAATGGCTAAAAGGAAAATTGAATGTAGTTTAAACAACACTTGTCACTCAGCTAATTCTGTCTACATTATTGTTGACTCACAGTAAGCTCATTGATGCAGAGCGCTGAGACAGGAGCCCGATGGCCCCTCAGCTGGGTGACGAAAGACAGCTTATTCAGGTCCCAAATGATGCACGTACGGTCCCGAGAGCCACTCACGATGATGTGGTAAGCTGATGACGCTGTGAGATATGTAACTGCATCTGTGTGGCCCAGAAGAGCCTGGAGACATGAACATATATATTAATCAATGCATAACACATTACAATTAAATAACACTCATTTATAAAGAGCAAGTAGGTGTAGCAAACAGGTCTAAAGGAAAACTTTAGCAAATTGAGTATATAAAAAAAAAATCTATCAAACAAGCCGCATTAAAACAAATATAAAACAAACCTGTTTGAGTGTGAGGCTCTTGGCTTTCTCTTTGGAAGTCCCGGTCTCCCATACACAGATAGCAGTGCTTAATCCTCCAGTAATGACCAGTTTGGGATTGGGACAGATAGCACACAGGATCTGCCCCCACTCAGACAGGCACTCATATACTACAACCGCCTATGAGACAAACGCAACACATGAACCATCGGTCAACTGATATGGAAAACGAAATACACAGAATAAACCAAAAACACAAGCTTAAACTTTGTCTTAATTAGTTCACAAGGAAGGTGAAAATCACATTTCAAAAACATTTCAAGGTTTCCACAACACCTGTTTTCAACATATTTATGACAATAATAAAAAATGTTTCTTAAGCACCAAATCAACATAGAATGTTTACTGAAGGATATGAATGATTTCCACTGTGACACAGTAGACTGGAGTAATGGCTGCTAAAAATTCAGCTTTGCCATCACAGCCACAAGTTACACTTTAAAATGTATTAAAATAGAAAACAGTTATTTTTAAATCTAATACTATTTCACAATATTTTACTGTATTCTCAATCAAATAAATGCAGCCTTGGTGAATATTAGAGAATTCTTTCAAAAAAGATCATAAACTATTACAGACCCCAAACTTTTCAATTGTTGAGTAGTTATAAATATGCAAAGTTTTGCAGATGCTCTTTTCCCAAATGCATTTCAGGATCTGACAGCCGTTCACAGCAGATGCTGAAAACATGAGCAAACAGAAGAACTTGTATGTTGCGAATGACCTTGTCAGACTCATAGTTGGAGAGGCGGCAGCTGAGGTCCGCATAGCCCCAGGCGAAGGTTTTATTCCAGGCAGGAGGAACCAACACCTTGTTCTGCTCAACAGCCAGAATGCCTTTGTCAGTGCACACTATCTGACCCACTGGCTCCTTCAGCTCTGTAAAACACAAATGACACACACAGAGCTTGTTAAAATGCTCTCCACTGTATGCCCAGAGCCGCTATTAAAATTTCACACAAATTATTCCTGAACAAACAAGTTCTAACAAATATATTGTTGATATTGAATTGTTAGTATTTATGTATTTTAAAACAAAAAAATGTATATGACAGAACTAGTAGAAGCCAACAAAAAAGGAATGCCACTGTAAACCTCTCTCTAATCTGCATTACCTTTGACAGGGGTGAGAGAGGGCCGCAAGTTGTCCAGGTGATGGAAGAAGAACTTGTCTAAGCTGGAGTTGAGTGTAACAGGTACACCAGGTACCTCTCCGTTTGACTTACTGCGCACCCGCTTTGGAGGATGGGGCTTCTTGAACAGCTAAAAGAAACGAAACAAAGAGGTTAAACTGGATACTGAGCAAAACACACACTAGAGTGTACTGCACAGTGGTCCCAAAAGGGATTTGGACACCTAGGTAACACAATTTAATTACATTAAATACAAACAACAAAACAAATGGCATCAGCAAAAAAAAATGAGGCTAGAGCTTTTTCAAAACTGACTTTCCTTTCAATGACTTTTAACAAGCTGGTGTCAAGGAGATTTTTAGTAGAAATATGAAGTCAGTTCTTCTCAAGTATGCACAGGTAACCACTGATGTAGTTCATTTTCAATAATGAAATTGCAAACCTGTTTTGGGATCTGACCAAAGTTGTTGATGAATCCAATGGTAGCTGTTTCTTTAAGTGGGTCATTAATGTTGTAGATGTCCACCTGACCCTCATAGAAGAGATGGTGGAAGACATTGACTGCTTCCACCGCTGGAGGACCCTGCTGCTTGTATCCAAATATTAGGTCGATCCATTCATGCAGATGGGCGCTGACATAGTCACACTCCAAAGCCTGAAAAAAAACACACACAGTCCCTAAAGGTTATGAACCTGTTTCTGAAAGTGGCCTTATTCTCTGACATTTACGACAATGAAGCGATAACACACAGAGCTTCTGGCTTCATCAGGAGATGATGTATTTTGATGCCAATTACCTCTCTGTGAACCCTGATGAACTCTCTCGGGTCTCCTTTTGCCCACGGAGGCAGAATCACATCTCCAAGCTTGGTGCCATTCTGTTTACTCCCTTTAGAAAAGATTGATCAAATAACACACTCATGTAAAAAATAAAAATAAAAATAAAAAAAGAGAGAGAGAGAGAGAGAGAGAGAAACTGTATTTAGGGTACAGATGAGGCTAGCTGTCAAGCTTTTCCTTACCAAGATCGAAGTTGTTGGAATTAAGTAGGAACTCGGGAAGGTAGAAAAATTCAGGAATGAGTTCCTTCACATCAGCCATGTTGTGTTTGGAAGCAGAGAGCCAACCCTCTCGTACACTGTGAAACATTCGGTCGGCTAGATCAAAATGTCCTCCCTGAAAACAGATGAAACTCACATGTAACCACCAATGCATAGTTTCACAAAACTGAAGTCAAACCATTCTGTTTTTGCTTCAAATTTCGAAATTATACAATGTAATTTAGATTAAAAACTAACATGTATGCAGCATCTTTGTTTGGATCATGATTCAAACGCAGTGGTTGCCTCTGATTTTAAATGGAAAGAGCACAGACAAAGCCTAGCTTGTTTATATGAAGAGAGTTCTTTTATTTGTGTTACTTATTTATTTGATTTGGGGCTTGTTTTAAAAATTCTATTTAGTTTTGTTATTTACAGTTACATTATATTTCAATTTTGTTATTTAGCAAACGCTTTTATCCAAAGCGACTAACAAATGAGGACAATAGAAGCAATCAAAACCAACAAAAGAGCAATCATTTACAAGTGCTATATTAGTATATTATTATAGTGTTATATTTCAATTTCACAAAGAAACATACAGTATTTTGTCCAAGCAATATTAAAAGGACACATTTAATTTATCATTTGTCTTAAATCTCTTTTTTTAATTTTTTTTATTGTGAATCGAATTGTGAAATCAAAATTGTGAATCGAATCGTGAGTTGAGTGAATCGTTACATCCCTAATATGTATACATATTTTACATTTTCAATATTAAAATGATAATTTATTAATAAATTATGTTATTACCTAATAAAGCATACAAATGCAAAGACCATACAATGCATACAAGAGTGCTTATTAAATGGCTAAAAGGAAAATTGAATGTAGTTTAAACAACACTTGTCACTCAGCTAATTCTGTCTACATTATTGTTGACTCACAGTAAGCTCATTGATGCAGAGCGCTGAGACAGGAGCCCGATGGCCCCTCAGCTGGGTGACGAAAGACAGCTTATTCAGGTCCCAAATGATGCACGTACGGTCCCGAGAGCCACTCACGATGATGTGGTAAGCTGATGACGCTGTGAGATATGTAACTGCATCTGTGTGGCCCAGAAGAGCCTGGAGACATGAACATATATATTAATCAATGCATAACACATTACAATTAAATAACACTCATTTATAAAGAGCAAGTAGGTGTAGCAAACAGGTCTAAAGGAAAACTTTAGCAAATTGAGTATATAAAAAAAAAATCTATCAAACAAGCCGCATTAAAACAAATATAAAACAAACCTGTTTGAGTGTGAGGCTCTTGGCTTTCTCTTTGGAAGTCCCGGTCTCCCATACACAGATAGCAGTGCTTAATCCTCCAGTAATGACCAGTTTGGGATTGGGACAGATAGCACACAGGATCTGCCCCCACTCAGACAGGCACTCATATACTACAACCGCCTATGAGACAAACGCAACACATGAACCATCGGTCAACTGATATGGAAAACGAAATACACAGAATAAACCAAAAACACAAGCTTAAACTTTGTCTTAATTAGTTCACAAGGAAGGTGAAAATCACATTTCAAAAACATTTCAAGGTTTCCACAACACCTGTTTTCAACATATTTATGACAATAATAAAAAATGTTTCTTAAGCACCAAATCAACATAGAATGTTTACTGAAGGATATGAATGATTTCCACTGTGACACAGTAGACTGGAGTAATGGCTGCTAAAAATTCAGCTTTGCCATCACAGCCACAAGTTACACTTTAAAATGTATTAAAATAGAAAACAGTTATTTTTAAATCTAATACTATTTCACAATATTTTACTGTATTCTCAATCAAATAAATGCAGCCTTGGTGAATATTAGAGAATTCTTTCAAAAAAGATCATAAACTATTACAGACCCCAAACTTTTCAATTGTTGAGTAGTTATAAATATGCAAAGTTTTGCAGATGCTCTTTTCCCAAATGCATTTCAGGATCTGACAGCCGTTCACAGCAGATGCTGAAAACATGAGCAAACAGAAGAACTTGTATGTTGCGAATGACCTTGTCAGACTCATAGTTGGAGAGGCGGCAGCTGAGGTCCGCATAGCCCCAGGCGAAGGTTTTATTCCAGGCAGGAGGAACCAACACCTTGTTCTGCTCAACAGCCAGAATGCCCTTGTCAGTGCACACTATCTGACCCATTGGCTCCTTCAGCTCTGTAAAACACACATGACACACACACACACAGAGCTCATTAAAATGTGCTCCACTGTATGGCCAGAGACGCTAGCAATATTTTACACAAATTATTCCTGAATAGGGTTGGGTATCATTTGGGGGTTTTTTTGATACCGGTGCCAAATCAATACTTTTAAAATGGTTCCGGTGCCTAAACCGATACTTATAAAAAAAATAAAATTAAATAAAATTCCCCCCAAAATGATGGATTGGCCATTAGCACTATAAACACATGATGTCTGATTCATTCATACTGGACGCCAGAGGGCGCCCTCGCACAGAAAATCCACATATCACAGGGGTGGTGACCATCGGTCCTGGAGAGCAGCAGCCCTGCAGAGTTTTGCTTCAATCCTAATCAAACACACCTGAACAAGCTAATCAAGGTCTGAAGGATTACTAGAAAGCTACAGACAGGTGAGTTTTAATTAGGGTTGGAGCTGAACTCTGCAGGGCTCTCCAGGACCGGAGTTCGCCACCCCTGACACATCCAGTCACAGAAGTAGCAGAACTCATGACCCTCCAGGAAATCCCTTATATGGATAAAGGCATGGCTATTTTAGCTGTAACTGAGTAAACAGAACATTATAAACGTTTTGACTGATAAAACAAAGACAATAAACTCTAGACTGTGTCAATATAGTTTATCTATGTTTTTCAAGCCATCTCTGGTATTTTCATAATAATTAAGTATATTTATAATCTATTGCTAATCGATGTATTCTTTATAAAGTAGCCTATGGAACATATTTTCTGCCTCATTCTGTGACAATAAGCCACATCAGATTTTTTTGTGTTTTGCCCGCCATATACCTGTTTGCCATTGTTTGACCCTGCCTGTTTACCACGTCTCTTTAATAAAAGCTTGCAGATGGATCCACACGTCTCGCGTCTCGTCAGCCCCGTCACAACAAAGATGTGTTGGATTTATATTATTAGAGCTTTCCGACTTGAGTTCATTTTCTCAGTCGGGAAATTATTTTTCACGTGCGGTGCCGGTGATGATGCTTCTTATATCTGTTTCGGAGAACCAGAGGGCAAATATTTCAATCGATCACTCAGGCATGGCACCGAAATGAGGCACCGAAATCTGCGTTATGATTCGGTTCTAGTACATTCTGGTTAAATAGGTACCGGTGCCATATTGGTACCGGGTTGCTGTACCCAACCCTATTCCTGAACAAACAAGTTTTAACAAATAAAACCATACATGAATAAATTGTTGATCTGGCTTTGATTGAGCTCTGTGATCATCACAGAGCATGTACTGCCACTGTATCCCTCCATCGAATTTGCATTACCTTTGACAGGTGTGAGAGAGGGCCGCAAGTTGTCCAGATGATGGAAGAAGATTTTGTCTAAGCTGGAGTTGAGTGTAACAGGTACACCAGGTACCTCTCCGTTTGACTTACTGCGCACTCGCTTTGGAGGATGGGGCTTCTTAAAAAGCTAAAAGAGAAGAAACACAGAGGTTAAACTGGATACTAAGCAAAATAGCATTAAATACAAAATAACAAAACAAAAGGCATCTGCAAATAAATGAAGCTAGAAATTTTTTCAGAACCAAATTTCCTTTCAATGACTTTTAACCAGTTGGTGCCAAGGTGATTTTTAGTAGAAATATAAAGTCAGTTTTCCTCAAGTTGGCACAGGCAACCACTGATGTAGTTCATGACATTTTCAGTAATGAAATTGCAAACCTGTTTTGGGATCTGGCCAAAGTTGTTGATGAATCCAATGGTAGCGGTTTCTTTAAGTGGGTCATTAATGTTGTAGATGTCCACCTGGCCCTCATAGAAGAGATGGTGGAAGACATTGACTGCTTCCACCGCTGGAGGACCCTGCTGCTTGTAACCAAAGATCAGATCGATCCATTCATGCAGATGGGCGCTGACATAGTCACACTCCAAAGCCTGAAAAAACACACACAGTCCTTAAAGGTTATAACTCTGTTACTGAAAGTGGCCTTCAGTTATTCTCTGACATTTACTGCAATGAAACAATAAAACACAGAGCCCCTTTCTGACTGCCGGCTTTATCAGGGGATGATGTATTTTGTTTGTTTTGTTTTTTTTATTGAATTTTTGCAGACATATGAAAAGGTATTACATCTGTTGCCAAATGAGATAAGATGTCTGGGGATGATGTATTTTGATGTCAATCACCTCTCTGTGAACCCTGATGAACTCTCTCGGGTCTCCTTTTGCCCACGGAGGCAGAATCACATCTCCAAGCTTGGTGCCATTCTGTTTACTCCCTTTAGAAAAGACCAATCAAATAAAACACACGTGAAGAAAAAAAAACAACAACAGAAAAAGAGAGGTTGCATGTAGGGTACAGATGAGGCTAGCTGTCAATCTCATCCTAACCAAGATCGAAGTTGTTGGAATTGAGCAGGAACTCAGGAAGGTAGAAGAACTCCGGAATGAGTTCCTTCACATCAGCCATGTTGTGTTTGGAAGCAGAGAGCCAAGCCTCTCGTATGCTGTTAAACATTCGGTCGGCCAGATCAAAATGTCCTCCCTAAAAACACAGAATGAAACTCACATATAACCAACAGCTTCAATCTTTCTTGAAACTAGATCAGCTGTTCGCACTATGGATGATAACTATAACATTTTAATAATTGTTATTAATTATATGAGAAAAGAAAGGTCTACACCACAGGTATAAACGCACAGAGGAACTATACAGTTTTTTTCCCCCAGAAGATTGACAGCCCATCAGGATATATAACTTTAAAGAGCTTGAGCATTTAAAGTAGCAGGCAGCATGCACTTTTAACAAACAGAACATTATTGTTGTGGACACTAATATAGTTATCATTATAGCTATTGTTTTTTGGTTTTGACTGTGGATGATTTATTTAGTAACATTCATTGCAAAATATATTTCCACCAGCATAAAAATGGATGTTGAAGAATAAAAGAACAATGACAAGAATGCCCAGTTCAAGACTGTCCAATCTAGCCACATGAAGGTTTGTGGTTGGTAAGAAAAACTTTAAACAATAACTAAAACACTGAGTAAAGAGAAGAAAGCAACAAATGAAGAAAAGAGCGGACAATGTAGGACTAACCTGAAGCCTGAGAAAGATCTGTGTGAAAGGCTCCATTCTGACCAGATATGAGGCCACAATCATTGCAGAGGAGTAATGAGTGCCATAATGATATGCTGGAGTCTCGCCTGCGAAGAAACAAAAACATGTTTAAAAAGTCTCAGCATAACAAGCACAGCTAACAGAGGGTTATTAAAAGGGGTCTCTGACTCACCATTAGGATCCTCCCAGTCTTTGAATCTTTTCTTGTACTGGATCAGTCTGTCATCTGTCTGAGCTCCCATGGGTTTGGATAAGTTTCGGAATGTCTTTGGATTGTTGAGGTCCAGTTCCTGTGGAATAAATCAAGATTTTTACCTTGGAAAACTGAAGCTCAGACTGCAAAAGAAAAGACACTTAACTGATACAAATTCCCCTAACAGAATGCCAATATATTGCTGACAGAAGACCGGACTTTTGAAACACTGTAGTTCTCAACATTTTGTACTGTAGGACTTATTACAAGGAATGATCAAAAACAAGTTTGTACCTCAGAGTCAAAGTCTGCCAGGATCCATGGAAAGACGGGATACTGCATCAGGTCATTATATGACCTGCCAGCCAGTGTGTTGAGATGCATCAAATACTGGAAATTACTGATTTCACCTCTCTGCAAATAAAGAGTCTTTCATAAGCAACACTGAACAAGAAAACAAAACAAACCGACAAAAATCTTAAAGTGAAGATACCGCACCTCCCATCTTTGGGTCACTGACTTCTCGCCGACCAGCGTACTGAGAAGACCAGACCTATTTACCAAGAAACACGCATATGAATGTTTATTTTAATAAATTTGGTAAATAAACTCAAAATTCCCTTCATAATCTTGTAATGTGAGGGTAACATACCCTTGTTCCACACTGGTGTTGGGACGTTGCCCAGAGACAGATTCTGAGCTGTCGGCTAGTGAAGGAACAACTGCCAGGAACCTAGAAAACATGATTTGGCTGTGTGTAAAAAAATAAGCTTTTTTCTGAGGTACTTCAACAATTAAATTACTATTAAAAACTACTATTACTATTAAAAACTACTATTAATATGTTTCAGCAAGAATGCATTAAAGGGATAGTTCATCCAAAAAGAAATCTTTTGTGCTCAACAGAAGAAAGAAACTCATACAGGCTTACAATGACATGAGGGTGAGTAAATGATGACAAAACTTGTTTTTGGGTGAACTATCCCTATAAGTTGATAAAAAGTAACAGTAAAGAAACTTATAATGTTACAAAAGATTTGAGTTATTAAATGTTGCTCTTTTGAACTTTCAATTCATCAAGTAGTCCTCAGAAAATAAAATTCACTGTTTCCATTCAAATGTTCAGCAGTCAACTGTTTTCATCAGTGATAATGTTTTCTGAGCTTGAAATCAGCATATTAGAATGATTTCTGAAGAATTATGTAACACTGAAAACTGGAGAAAAGGCTGATGAAAATCAGCTTTGCCATTACAGGAATAAATTACATTTAAAATATATTAAAGGGTTAGTTCACCCAAAAATGAAAATTGGCTTGTGTTTTACTCACCCCCGAAGCATCCTAGGTGTATATGACTTTCTTCTTATAGACGAATCCAGTCGGGGTTACATAAAAAATTGTCCTGGCTATTCCAAGCTCTTGTTTCCAATTCTTTTTGTAAGAAAAATATCCATATTTCAAATGTAATAAACACTTTTCTCTCACTTTCATTATCTTTCATATGCGGAAGGCGTTCCGGCGAAAGGCGTATGCTAGTCTCACGAGTTTGTTTAGAGGAGCAAAGGAAAACTCTCCTCTTGGCTTATATCGAAATCCTCTGAGATTTTTCTTTGCAGTTTCAAGATTACACCAAAATTCAGTCATGTGACCAAACTTTTTAACTGGAACTGCATGCAAATTTAATTTTTGATTTTAGAGAGAAAAGCAACCTGCCTGGTCATTGCTGTATATAAAATTTCTACTAAAATATCTATATACAAGGATATATCTACATCTAGGAAACTGAAATGTATAATTTCCGAACAACTGGCAACAGAAAACAGAACTGTGATCTGTTTGTTTGAGCGGCCAACTGGGCCAGATGTAGTGACACTGGCTCAACCAATGGAGGGATTTTAGGGCGGGTCTGCAGTATCGGTTTGCTGAACAATGGAAGATGTGTGATGTATGTGAAATGGTCTTTATTTTTGCAGTTCTGTTTGGTGCCAGTAGTGGTGCAGAATTAACTTATTTCAGCTCTCAAACTACAACATGAATACCAATGATTAGTGAGTTATAAGAGTAGCATGGATTACAAGGGATTAGCATATGGGAGGGGTGGAGCTGTCCTAAACCTATTTTTCTAGAGGTATGAAATATTTTCAACAGGAATGACAGCAGAGAAAACATCTCCAAATAGCGTTTTAAGCATTCTGCGGAGGCGTCAATCCACATATGCCTCCTCATTATGTGACAGACAAATGCAGAAGGTCTGGGACATTTATTTTACACTTAATGCGGCAATGCAGATGTTCAAGACTAGTTTAGGCACACTTCAGTTTGTACCTGGACTGGTATGTTAACCATTGCACCCATTAATGGCACCTGTGATTGATTCTGAAAAGGGAAAAATGGGCAATAAGGCAAGAGGAGCGTTGTGTTTGCATTTCAGGCTTCTTATGTGAAGTCATTGCCATCATATGGCTAATGCTGGCAATTAAAGTTTGAGAGTTTACAAAAGATCCATTCAGAGCAGATTATCAACCATTAGCGCTACACACATGTTGACTTTCACTGAGACTATAGGCAAATTCAATAGACTTGTTTCAGTTAATGGGGTAAAATAAGGTTAAAGAAAATTATGTTTTATTAATTAAGTTTATTTTCTATTTCGGGAAGCCAGAATTTGCTAACATACAATACATAACATGTACCTCCTTTAAACTGAAAAATTACAAGAAAAGTACACTAACCTGAGTGCTTGCATTGGGCTCAGGATCAGGCACGTAGGGATAATGAATGTAAAACATGTCATTCCGAACCATCTTCTTCCTCATTCTACAGGGTCCCTCAGTCATGTCCAACTGAAACTTGTCCAGGTGGGAGCCAATAGGAGGCCCCCAGAGGCCCCTCTCACGAAGCAGCTCATATTCAATCCCTGCCCACTCATCCATCACATACTTCAGCGCATTCTGCTGTCTCTGTGAGAAAACAAATGCATATTTGCATCAAAATAATTTTTTGTAGAAGTCATTCCACTATGATCAGAACTGGGAAAACATTTATTTAGCGATCCCTCCATTTAAAACATTTCAGCAATTATTATTATTCTGAAAGATCTATTTGACTTTTGCAATTGAAGGGTTACCTCTTGATGCTCCTTGTACTGCATTGCGACCAAGTCCCGGACCACAGCAATGTGCGTGAACATCCACTGAAAGGTTTCCTGTGGACAGTCACAATAATGTGAGCACAAACTTCCTGTGCAAGTCCATAAGATCAGCTGTGAAATCACTTCCATGTCTGTGACAGTTATTTTCAACTCAACTCAACTTTTATTAATAAAGCACTTTCAAAACCATAAGAAGACCAAAGTCCCGTACTGAGATAATTAAAACAAACAAAAAAATAATAATAAAAACATTACAAACATACAATAATAACACAGCATAACACAAATATAAATTGTACAACAAAATCACTCACATTAAACACTCACTCAAATGCCAATAGCCTGATGAAATAAACAAGTCTTTAAGTTCCCTTTAAAAAAAGTTCATAGTTGACAAGGGTTTTATGAATAGCGGCAAGGCATTCCAAAGTGTAGGAGCTGCAACTTAAAAAAAGGCGCAATCTCCACAGCGCTTTAAACAATACCATGGAACAGTTAAGAGCAAGTTCTGAGAAGACGCAGATGACGTTGAGGCTGTTAAAGAGACAGCATGTCCTTTATATCAGAAGCCTGATATAACAAACATTAACACCTTGTATTGGATTCTATAATTAACAGATAACCAATGAAGACATAGGCTATCAACACAGGTGTGATATGATCCCATTTTCTGGAATTAGTTAAAAGTCTCCATGCATGTTGTATGACAATAGACCAGGGCTGTCCAAACTCGGTCCTGGAGGGCCAGTGTCCTGCAGAATTTAACTCCAACTTGCCTCAACAGACCTGACTGAAAGTTTCTATGCCTAGTAAGAGCTTGATTAGCTGGTTCAGGTGTGTTAAATAAGGGTTGGCGCTAAACTCTGCAGGACACCGGCCCTCCAGGACTGAGTTTGGACAGCCCTGCAATAGACCATAACTCTCAACCAGTTCTTTGTCAGGTAGTCTATTCCCAAATATAATAAACTCAGCCTTATCCTTATTTAATTGTAGGAAATGATTTGTCAACCATCCCTTTACCTCAGTCAAACACATAGAAAAATTTGCAAATGATGTACAGTCATCAAGCTCAAGAGAAAGGTACAGTTGTAAATCATCAACATACAAATGATCATTTATATTTTATTGACTAAAGGTTGACCCCAAAGGCAACATGTATAACAAAAACAGGGTTGGACCAAGAATTGATTCCAGTGGAACACCCCAAGAGATGGATGTCGGTCTAGATAGATGCATTTTGACAGTTACCTGTGCAGAAAGATTGTTCTTGTTCATTCCACTTTCCTTCTTGCTGCGACGGGAGCCAGTAAGTTTGGACAGACCAAAGCCACTGCTGACTCGAGACAGTTTGGACTGATTCGCTGGGGCAACGGTTTCGCCCCTGCTGATGCATTTCTTCTCGTGGACTAGAAGCAAAACAGAGAAGGTTCAACACAGTAAGAAAATGAGAGTATAGGGAAAACTGCAAAAATATTTAACAAGAAAAAATTAGCAGAGTGACAAAGACACAGGAAAGAGTGTGAAAGAAATTTAACTATGTGGGAGAATCTGAATTTGATGGATTTATAAAGTAAAAATTTGAGTGTGTGTGGATGTTTTCCTCACCCAGGTGGTTCTGCCAGCTTTTAGCAGCAGGTTCCTCTAAAGCAGGTCGAGCAGTGGCGATGTCCACATGTCCTCGATCATTGACTGGTAGAGACACTTTAAAAATGTCCTCCAGCATTTGCCGCTTACTGTGCATGAGCTCTGTCCACACACGATTCACTGCCTTGAGCAGCAACTGACGACCTGACAAACACACACACACCAAAAACAGACAGAGTAAGTTTGATATCGATAATGGTTTTTATGAGGGCTTGTGAAGTGCTTTAAGTATTAAAACTGTATGCTTTAATGCACCACAAACTTTGCTTGCAAAAATTTAATAAAAAGAGAAAAAGAACAACCTTCGCTAACATCCTGGCTCTGGACATGGTCCGACTTGTTCTCAGAAGGAACCGCGACATGCCAGGTGGTCATTCTGGCCTCTGCCTCCAAACCAAATCCCTCCACACTACTGTAAGAGAACATGAAAGTGATGTTGACTTGTGGCACAGTGATACAGCACACCATTCGTATACATTTGAAGACACCATGGTCTTTTGGCCAGCGCTTTATTTGTGCTGCACCATGTGAACATTCTCCAGTCAATATTATAAGTTTCAATGCTAGAACACAAACAGCAATAATAATGAACTATCATATCAGCACATCAGTCACTCAAAATCAAGCACAGAGCACAGAGACTTAGAGTGGCAGCACTACACACTAATGTGATTCTGCTCACTGTCTCTGAGCTGCTCTCATTTCTCAGTCTCTCTGAAGCCAAACTTCTGAGTCAGCCTGGATACAGAGCAATGACAACATAAACCTCCTCCTCATGTCTCTCACAGTGACTCACAACAGCAGAGGCGCACAATCACAAACAATCCTGAGACTGTGAAGAGGAATTATTCATTTTTCACTGCTCATACATAATCCCATAAACCCATCCCCATCTATCTTTCCATCTAAATGTATGCATTTATTTTTATTTTCTACTGCGCATATAGTCTATCACAATCCATAGTCTATAGCATTATCTAAATGTACTTATTTCAGAGCTCAAACATAACTATCCATGTAAATGTATTTCACACCTCATATTTGTGACCCTGGACCATACAAGTATATTTGTAGCAATAGCCAACAATACATTGTCTGGGTCAAAATTATCGATTTTTCTTTTATGCCAAAAATCATTAGGATATTAAGTAAAGATCATGTTCCATGAAGATATTTTGTAAATTTACTACTGTAAATATATCAAAATCTAATTTTTGATTTTCACATATGTCTATCTACCCATCTATCTAAATGTTTTTATGTATTTACATATTTATTAATTTTTACACCTTTTTTTTTTAACCAGAGTTTGCATGTCAAATGGAAAACATATCTCAATACACTTATCTATCCATCCCTGTAACTTAAAACCAAACATCTGGATACTCTAAATTCATAAACCCTTGATTTTATGTACAGTGCCTGAAAACATTATACCACCTCTGTGTCTCTCTCACCTCCCCGTGTGCAGGTTGATCAAGCAGTGGGCCAGACAAGCCACAAACTCCTGGTCATGGTTGCCAGGTCCCAGCACGAGGTTTCGGTTTACCGTCAGCACACGTAGTGAATCCAGCAAGGTGACCTGTTGCGGGACCGTTTTGTGTGGTCGTGAGAGCTGGTAGAGGATTGTTCGGTTCAGACAATGGTAGACTGAGTCCAGAGACAAACCCTGTGATCGCCGTTTGGACTGTTGTGGGACAACAACAAAAAAAACAAGAAAAGGAGATTTGTTGAGAAACCACCAGTCACGCAAGTTACATAGTAATGCTACATAAGTCTTGCACATGATGAATGTAAAAGAAAGAGAGAGAAAGAGAGAGAGAGAGAGAGAGAGAGAGAAATTGTACAACTAACAGAAATTTGTAATATAATAATAGGAAAATAATTTATGTTTAATAACTGAAGTAATGACTTAACATTACATTGTGGGTTATTGTGGTCTTTCTTAAATGGTTATAAGCTAAATTATTTTTGCAATATTTAGTGAAACATTTACTGTGAAATTGTTTAAATCTCATTTTAAAAAGATAACTGTGGTTGCTATGATTGCTTATAGTTTGCTTTTAACTGCATTTAAATTTTGAACATTCGGTTTGTTTAAATTTACACTCCCATTCAAAAGCTTGGGTTGAGTATTGTTTAATGTTCTTGAAGTCTCTTATAGTTTCCAAGGCTGCATTTATTTGATCAAAAACCTAGTAAACAACAGTAATACTCTGAAATATTATTACAATTTAAAATAATATATTTAGGTCAATTAAATGTAATTTATTCCTGTGATGGTAAATCAGAATTTTCAGCAGGTACCCATCTCATATGGTGTTCAAACATTTCTTATTATAACAGCTGTGCTTGATATTTTGTGGGAACCAAAAAACATTTACAGTATTAGGATTCTTTGATGGCCAAAATAAATAATTTGAAATAGAAATATTTTGTAGCAGTAGCATACATTTAAGACATCCACTAAAAGTAATCATTTGTATGCAACGTTCATGATTAAAATGACAAACTAGACAACATACGGCCAAAAAAATATATAGCAAGACCCCTTCCTAATTATTCAGGAACACTATGACTTTGGGGACAAGTGTGCTTGTTTTGATGTAGGTGGTGTGAAAGCATAATTGGCGTTTAAGTGGGGAACCTCCGGTGTGAGCTCACCTGGGTGATCAGCTGAACTATGAAATCCACCACGAGCTTGGACTCTTTGTTGAACATGCCCTGCCAAAGCTTATCCACCACACGCTGTGTGAAGTAGAACACATTGTTGACCAGGACCTGATAACTTCCTCCTGTCGTTATTGGCAATGATGCCTCCTCACCTGTTGGAGGACACAGCCACACACATGAAAGATTTGTCATTTTAGCTTATATTGTGGGATTCTGAATATTTTGTTGTTCAAAAGACTTTAAGGGACCTCAGGGAACTTTAGATCAAAAACGCTGAGAACCGCTAAAATATGGTCATGTCTCACCATGCCATGACAGTTTTTGCATACATTGTGCCTGATCTACATTGACATAAAAAAACACACAATTTGGAAGAAAATGAGATTGAGTAAATGACAGCATTTTCATTTTTTGGGTACATTACTGATCAATTCCCAGAGCTAAACCTGATGATTGGGATGCAACTAACCCAACAGAACATCTGCTGCCAGAAGCTGCTCCATCACACTGTCCAGGATGTATGACTGAAACTCTTTCTGCTGGGTCCTGGTTGACCGCTCTGGTGAGGCCTGAGGACACAGAGCAAAGTTAGTGTCCCTGCCCAACAAACGTACACTCCCACATTAGCTTCTAATAAGCAGCATGCAGAGCACTGCAGGATGATAGAAAAGAAAGCCAGGATTACAGGCACTGAGATTCTGTAGCTTCACGCAACATCATTGACAAATGAAATATAATGAAGTAGATATTCAAGATGGTCTCACCTCTAGCAGAAGATCAATGATGGGCGTCTGTTTGCTGGCAGGTGTCATGCACAGGTTGTCCATGATGAGGACCCTCATGAAGTCAAAGACATACTTCTTGGCTGGGTGGTTGGTCAAGTAGGTTTTATTGCCTACATTACAGTATTCTGACTGGCTACGGTTCATGCCTGTATCTGTCACAAAGGCTTTGAACTCTTCTGTGGGTGAGCTTGCTTCATCATCCAAATCACTCACCTGAGGAAAACAAGACATTTTTTATCATACAACCAACTTCAATTGAGACTGAAACATCAAAAGGACAAATTCCCAGTTACAATAACAAACAAAGAGAACAATAGCGTACCATCTCAGAGTAAGGCCGTATATTGAAGGGGAAAACCGTAGCAGCAAGTGTACACAGGAAGTCCGGGCTGTGCCACATGTGTGCCAGATCTGGGATGTTGTGATAGAGGTAACGGAAAAACTGCATGAGAGTGATGGGATATTCTCTCAGCCAGGAACCCTCCTCCTCTGACTGCCAAGGCTGTGGGTTAGATAAAGAGAAATTTCAGCTTCTGTGGTCTGAGGGTCTGTACTTGTGAGAATAACCTGCATTTTTTGGTATCTGCAGTGAAAACAATTCATCTTAATATAATACCATTTTAACCTTTTATTTTTCACTTTGAGCACCAGTTTGTCACTAATTTCCCATTTCATTCAGAATTTTTCATCAGCTGTAGTACAAAACCTTTGATAAACTACCAAATGAAAACCGGAGCAATCATCCCAATGTTAGCAGTTGCTCCTGGGATGCATATTTCTAAAGCAGGAAGCTTGGAGACTCACCAGGTTGAGCATGCTGCGCAGCATTGCCAGGAGCAGGAACGCTGCTTCAGTGCACATGTTGTGAATGGAGCCCACCACTGTAGCACTGGAAGATGGGACACCAAATATAAACGTCCAGATAGAATCCAGGTCAAACTGTGTGAGGAGATGGGCACAACCCAATAATAATGTATTAATTATATATTATACAAATTATTAAATTGTATTAAGTTATTATGAAATCATAATATTATCGAATTGCATTTAATTAAATAATTAATACTTATTCAATGATTTTGCAGTTTAAAAAGTAAAAGAATGAATTAGTGACACTACAATGCACTGACAGGAAACATTTATATATAACCCATGCATGACTGAATGGATGATACAGCAAAGACAATTTGTTGAACATGAGTATAGTTAACAAGGAGCAGGTCACTTTAAAAGAACAGTTGAAAACAAAAGGTCTGAGATCACGTTGAAAAATTGGGATTTATATAAAATATAAATCCTATTTAAATTTGTAAAAGTTTTAGGATTCAAAAAGAAAAAAAGAAAGAGAAAGAAAGAGAAAAAGAAAGAAAGAATATTATGTAAAATTATTTTAGATTCTGCACTACTGCTAATTCACTAATTGTATGTAAGCAAATTGGTGACACCGAGCATGTGAACATGACTTAATTTTTCAATTAAATTCTTTTACACATCCGCAAATAACACAAATTATAAAAAAGAAATATATATATATAAAGACATTCAAGTTTGATTAGTAGGGAAAAAAGGTTTGCATACTGACATGTACCTGCAGGCTGTCAGGCAGCTCTGTGATTGGTTGCTGGAGGAAAAGGGCCATGAGCATGAAGTAGATCTCTGGAACGTTGGTGTGTTTGGGCAGTAGAGTTTGCAACACAGGGAATCCTGGGAAATGGCAGGCAACTCGGTTTATTTCACGCAATGTCGACCTGCCCCCTGCGCTGCGGCCAACGTTAAAACCTGAAAGGAAATGAGCAAAAACTCACAAATTTAGTTACAGTACAAAATACTAAGTTATTGTTATTATTGTTATAATTTTTTATACTGTATAATTATAGAAACTGTTTAACTAAAATGCATGTGAAACTAATCAAATATGATTAGGTTTCTTGCTCACCCAGAACAGTGCCAATCTTATTAGTGAGCACAGAGTCAGTGTGGTCCAGCCATCCTCCTCCAGACAGACCCTCTTTAAACCGGCTCAGGATGGATTGGTTACTCAGCAACACCACCAAGATTAAGAGAGCTGCCGTCACTGTACTGGAGTGAATGTGTTCTTCCATAAACATCAGCAACCAATCAAAACCCAAGGTGCGCACAAGTTCTTCGCAAGCCCTGCGGGAGGTAGCAGAAAGAAAAATTTAGTGGGGGGATGATCATTAATATGAAGGTAGATCTTACAAATTTTGTTTATAATCTTTTAAGTTATGAGGCTTAATTTACAGACAATTAAATGGTGCGCTTTGTCATTTTTCATACACACCCACAAAAAAAAAATACTGAGAGCACTGATAAGAGATAAAAGCACTTTGGCTACACTAAATCATTTTGGACACATATCCAAAGTGTCTAGTTCCATCTGTATCCAATCCCAGATAACAGCCCTAAACCAGCAAGCTTAGGTAACAATGTTACAGATGCTGTAAAATGCAGCGCAGCTCTTTGAAGTCCAATAATCCACCCTTGATTTAAAATGGAGCATCACTCACTGTACATTAACAATGTTCTTCTCTTTGCAGGTGAAGAGTTGTTTGAGGAGGATGTCCAGCAGTCTGTTCCGCAGAAGAATCAAGTTGGATGACAGGAGGCCTCCAAACTCATCCTCAGCTCCTGAAAACACCCAGGAAGAAAAGTAAGACCACTGAAAGGAGAAATGATACTGCTAACCTTTTTGACATTTATAAGCTCCTGGTATCTTAAGACATCTCATTATTAAGCCTAGATGAAATCTGCAGATTTTCCAGGGCTGATTTTAGTGGGAATCTGCAGAAAGTGCTTACAGCAGGAATTCTGTGTAGCTTTCCACAAGGTTCTGCAGGTGTGGATTTCTTTTGGTGCTGTTTAAAGCTGGCAATGCTTTGATTCCCATGGGTCTAATTCTTTAACAGGGTGATCTGAAGTGTTGTTGTGTTGGAACAATATGCTGCTAAAATGCTTCTTTCATACTTGGAAGCTTAAAAAAGCCGACTCACCCCTGTCGATCTTCTCCTCATTGGTGTTCTCCATAATGACAAACTTCTCACAGACTGCAAATGTTGGCAATGTTGAAGAGATAAACTGCCCAAACCTGGGAAAAAAAATCAATCATAGCCATAAATAAATAAAAGAAAGTCCAGAATTATAAATTATTATTTTGTGATCGGAAATTTTTATTGTAAATTGTACAGTGTTCCTTAATAATTAGTCACCCCTGCTTCTAAATAAAGTATGTTCTGCAGCAAAATCAAACAGATTTGAAAGAATCAGTCACTTCTGATTCTAATCTTCTAAAAATGTGTTGTCTTTGACAGCCTACATTTAAAATGGGCATACAACTCTCCGTTTACCTGAGTAGGTCATATGAGTTGGGGAAGCCTTGAAGCAGGAGACTGAGGACATTGCCGATTGCAGCGATGGTGGGCTGAGACAGAGATTGATCCCTCAGAGTCAGCAGCAGTCTGGGGATCAATTGAAACTCCCGCAATAGTTTGGCATTCTTAGCAGCTTCACTGAGAACAGAAACAAGTACACATTGTGTTAGTGATAGCAGTTTAACAACTGCAGGTTTGACTCTGCACCTCTGGAGTTTAGGAACACTGTTCACTCTAAAGGCACCTTCACACCAAGGACGATACCTATAAAGTTAATAATCTAGAGCAGTGTTTCCCAACCGGGGTGCCGCGGCACTCTGGGGTGCCATCTGTCGAGAGCAGGGGTGCAGTGTAAAAAATCTTTTTTTAATATTTTTAAATTGCCAAAATGTTCAAAAGAGCATCTATTATATAATATCCATTTCTGAAGTCGCCAATAATTAGAGATGCACCGAAATTACGGCTGCCGAAAATGAGTTCACCGCTCAGGTTTCACTTTCACGTGGAGTGACGCTCTGCGTACTATCCCGCTCTATGCGTGTGTGCTCCACTCAGTCGCTCCACTCGTATACCGTTCATGCGAATCGGAACAGAAAGTCCGCTCAAAAATTGTGCCGACAGGAAACATGGATGTAGTACAGGATTGTTTCTGTCTGTAATAGCCCTACTGTGCTGTAACATGGTGTGGTATATGGCAACTCTGGTAACGCTGCCCTCTCATTCATTGATCTGCTAACCGCTATGTTATGCTCACGTGTTCTGATAATAATAGCTTTCTAGGACTAAACATTATTTGGATAATTGGT